GGTACTTCTAGGGCTGGTGGAGACGGGCTGGGTGGATGGATACTTCTAGAGCTGGTGGAGACGGGCTGGGTGGATAGATACTTCCAGGGCTGGTGGAGATGGGCTGGGTGGATGGGTACTTCTAGGGCTGGTGGAGACGGGCCGGGTGGATGGGTGCTTCTGTGGGAGCACCATCTCTCTCTCTGAGGGTACTCCGTCTCTCTCCCGGAGGGTGCTCCGTGGAACCAGCCCTGGAATGGAGGCTCCTTGCTGGGCTTCTAGTCTCCTGTCCCTCAGTGAACAGAGGGGCACCTGCCGGGTTGGGGGCGCGAGAACTGCTCCCCTGAGACCTCAGGGATTCACTGCATCTCAGTGCTGCCTCTGTAAAAGGAAGCAGTTGGACCCATCAGCCAGTGATCCTCTCCTGATGTCCCAAGAGCAGAAAGCACTAAAGCCCAGCCCTGCCCAGCACTGCAGGGTTGGGAGTGGCAGGGGCGGTAGGTTAACATGCGGATTTCGTGTTGGGAAATGCTCACGGAGTCTTATGGTTCCCTGTGTTTCTGTGACACCCTCTCCCCCAGCTCTGCCCCATCTCTGGCTGTGTCCCCTGGAGGACCCCCAGGTCAGACCCACTTAGCCCCCTCCCCAGCTCTCCTACGTAATGTCTGACAGCCCAGCAGGCAAGAGGGAGACTGGAAGTCCAGGCCGCGGTTCTTCTCTGGGTGTGAGTGGCCAGAGGACCTTCTTCTCCTCCACTGCCCTGTTCCCTGGGTGTGAGTGGCAGGAGGCCGTCTCCTCCTCCCCTGCCCTGTTCGGCTGAATGGACAGGGCTCTGCCTTTCTCACACTGGAGAAGATTCTCCTGCTTGGACACGCCTAGGGCTTCCAGCCGAGTGTGTTCACAGCTGAGCTCCTTGTCTCTGAAGTTATCTGCGCCGCTTCCTGCCTTTATCTCAGTGAGTGCTTCAGACCCGTTCTTGCTGCCCCCCTCCCCCCACCTGTCCTGTGGAGTCCACTTTTTCGCCATTGCTCACCGCTGCCTTTTCCTTTTCTTGGCCACCCATGGCCCTCACCTGGACAGCTGTGTGTCCTCCTTTGTGGCTCCTGGCTCCTGCCTCCAGGCCCACTCCCCTCCCACCCCCACCTCTCCTTAGAGGGGAGAGAGTCACTGAAAACCCTGACAGCCCCTTCAGCGGCTCCCCACGGCCCTCGGATGAAGGCCAGGCTCTGAGGAATGGCTCGAGAGACCCTTTGCACACTGACCTGTGTCCAGCCCTGGCCTTGGCAGCTTCCTCCCCGCACCTCTGTGCTTCCTGACTCTGGACTTTCTGTTCTCAGTTCCCAGGGCAGGCGCTTTCTTAACTCTTCATACTCGAGGCCCCACCTGCCTGAAATGTCCTTCACCCTCTCCTCTGGCTTCCCCTGGTCAGCTCCCAGCTTAGAAGGGACCTCCTCCGAGAAGGCTTTCCAGGCCCCCGGATGCAGGCCTCGTGCCAGTCCCCGTAGTGAGCACGGGTGGCTGCCTGACTCCCCCGAACCACAGCGAGCTCCAGGAGGACGGGCTGACTTTCTTCTTTTGTTGAGTCGGAGTCCCGCTGTGTCGCCCAGGCTGGAGTGCAATGGTGCGATCTCGGCTCACTACAAGCTCCGTCTCCTGGGTTCACACCATTCTCCTGCCTCAGCCTCCCAAGTCCTTGGGATTACAGGTACCTGCCACCACGCCCAGCTAATTTTTGTAGATTTAGTAGAGACAGGGTTTCGCCACGTTGGCCAGGCTGGTCTTGAAGTCCTGACCTCAGGCGATCCACCCGCCTCAGCCTCCCAAAGTGCTGGGATTACAGGCGTGAGCCACCGCGCCTGGCCTGCATTTTCTTCTTAGACCCCCGGAACCAGCCCAGTGGTCGCTCCATGAATGAGTGAATGCACCGTGACCTTGACCACTGGGCCTGGGGAGAACCCGGAGGGGCATCGAGGGAGACGTCACAGGCCCCGAGGTTTCTGTCCTGAGAGCCCTGTTTCTCAAGCACAGCTTCTAGACCCAGATCACAAAGTAGGCTTGAATCCCAGCTCTGCCAGATTAAACCTGCACGTGGGCAACTTACCCAACCGCTCTGCATCAGCTTCCTCATCTGTAAAAATGAGGATAGTGGTAGTGTTTCCCTCATTGGGTGATTCTGAGGAGTTAATATCTGAAAAGTGCATGGAGCTGAGTGTGGTGGCTGATACCCGTAATCCCAGCACTTTGGGAGGCTGAGGCTGGAGGATCACTTGAGGCTGAGAGTTCAAGACCAGCCTGGGCAACATAGCAAGACCCTGTCTCTACAAAGAAATAGAATAGGCCTGACTGGGCGTGGTGGCTCACGCCTGTAATCCCAGCATTTTGGGAGGCCGAGGCAGGTGGATCATGAGGTCAGTAGTTCGAGACCAGCCTGGCCTACGTGGTGGAACCCCGTCTCTACTCAAAATACAAAAAAATTAGCCGGGCCTGGTGGCGGGCGCCTGTAGTCTCAGTTCCTCAGGAGGCTGAGGCGGGAGAATCGCTTGAACCTGGGAGGCGGGAGTTGCAGTAAGCTGAGATTGCGCCACTGCACTCCAGCCTGGGCGACAGACTGAGACTCCGTCTCAAAAAAAAAAAAAAGGAATAGGCTTGGGGCAGGGGCTTACGCCTATAATTCCAGCATTTTGGGTGGCCAAGGTGGGCAGATCACCTGAAGTCAGGAGTTCAAGACCAGCCTGGCCAACGTGGTGAAACTCTGTCTCTACTAAAAATACAAAAATTAGCCAGGCGTGATAACGCACACCTGTGATCCTCCAGCCTTGGGAGGCTGAGGTGGGAGAATTGCTTGAACTCAGGAGGCAGAGGTTACAGTG